GCCCAACTTTAGGGCCTGTTCGTAATTTTGATGTAGTGTCTGGTGAATTTATACAGATTTTACATACAGGTTCTGCTCATTGGGTGTGTGTCAGTAATATTGGCTGCCAACTCTTTGATGCAAATTTATATGACAGTCTCTATCAAGATGTCATTTGCCAGGAAGTGGTAGATCAAACAAATGATCTTCTAGGTGGTCGTTTGAATTCATTCAATTATGCACCAGTTCAACAGCAAAATAATGGTAATGACTGTGGCATTTTTGCCATTGCTTTTGCCTGCCATCTTGCTAATGGCGGAGACCATTAGCAAGATGGCAAGATTTACCTAATCATTCTAAGCAACACATGGCAATCTGCCGTCTTTCCTTGCACTTAGGTGGCACGGAAAGCCGTAAAAATCTTGAACAAAAGCTCATCTTTCAAACTGGTAGTCTCAAACCCACAGGGATCAACAAATGCTTTTCATTCCACTAATTTATTCATGTTTTTCTCGTTGCCATGCTCCCACCAATAACGTAGCTCCATTTTCTTCCTTTAAAAGCACACACAACCCACAATTCCTCTATTCGCTCTGACGAAGGGCTAACACTCGAAACGTCAGCTTTTGTAATCATTATGGTGGCTAATTTACCATTTCAACTTTGTTGATATATCCAAATTATTTCGTTACTCCCACCGACACAGCCCCAAACAGTTTCTTTCGAAACTATCAGCCTTTATATATTACACTGTAGTTCAACTTAAATTTCAGAGTCAGCCAAGTTCTTGAAATACAGCTTTTAAAAGTATCACTAAAACTTCCAATACAGATGTCATGTATTTCTAAAGTGCTGCCAACTTTGTTTGATCATACAGTATAACTTTGACAGCATTTACTTCATATTCTTCTCAGGCTTTATTATGAAACTATTGTCAGCTACCTGTAATTATCAGTAAAAAGCAGCATAACCACTGGCAAGTCAACCATAATAGAACCAATTTAGTAAATGCACATGTCACAACATCAATGTGAAGATTCATTTCCTTTACTCACCTGGGAAAACTGAATATACTCTGTAAATCTTATCCTTCAGCTCCATAACACTTCTCATTCCTTCAACTGTAAAAAGATTCCCATACACAGACAAATCTTTGAGTTTCTTCAGCTGTTTTATAGCTGGACTCAACTCAGTCAACCGGTTGTAACTCAGCACCAGTCTCTCCAACTCCACCATCTCCCCAATAACATCAGGGATGGTGGTTAGATTGTTATATGACATGTCCAGCTCTCTGAGTTTCTTCAGATGTTTTATAGCTGGACTCAACACAGTCAACTGGTTGTAACTCAGCACCAGTCCCTCCAGCTCCACCATCTCTCCAATAACATCAGGGATGGTGGTTAGATTGTTATGTGAGATGTTCAGCACTTTGAGGTTCTTCAGATGTTTTATAGCTGGACTCAACACAGTCAACTGGTTGCCACTCAGCACCAGTCTACCCAGCTCCACCATCTCCCCAATAGCATCGGGGATAGTGGTTAGATTGTTATGTGATATGTCCAGCCATTTGAGTTTCTTCAGCTGTTTTATAGCTGGACTCAAGACAGTCAACTGGTTGAAACTCAGCTCAAGTCCCTCCAGCTCCACCATCTCCCCAATACCATCAGGGATGGTGGTTAGTTTGTTATCTCTGATGTTCAGCTCTTTGAGTTTCTTTAGCTGTGTCAAACTTGTTGGGAATACGGACAGCTGGTTTCTTCTCACAATAAGTACCGTAAGATTGTTTAGTTTTCCCATATTTTCAGGTATTGTTGTAAGTTTATTCTCTGACAGGAAAAGTTCCTCCAACTCAGTTAATTCAAACAAAGCTGCAGGCAATTCATGCAAACTGTGCCCACTGAGATATAAACTCCTTCTTCCAGAATATGTTTCCATCTTTCTTCTTAACTCTTCTTTAGAAAGAAATGCCATTTCATTCATAAGGAACTGTCAGAACAAAAATACAAGCTGTCATTAAAGGTGGGTGACTTAAAATAACTTGCTTTGGCATTATAACCATTGAACCAAAATTGGAAAAAATGAGGTTTACAATTAAACTTCTTAACCAAACTTATTTATTTCTCTTAATACAATCTTTGGAAGCCATCCACCCTTCAGTGTTCTTTTAAATGCTCTGAGTAAAGAATGCTTATTTGTAAAAGCTCTAGTTATTTATTTTTATGTCAGACATTTTGACTCAAGTCTCATGGTATAATTTTTCTGTGTTCATAAGCGACGGGCTTGAGTTATACATGTTACGTAACAAAACGGCTATTATAAACAAGAAAACTGTTTGAATTCTAATACAGAGTTCTCCTCGCTACTTTTACAAGAACATACAAACTACTTTTACTGTAAACATGCATGAATATCCAACAGGAAAGAAATCATTAATGCAAATCTATGACTTCTTTGGTTATGTTTTGATGTGATAACCTTAAACAGTTGTAGTATAAATTAACCAAAACATAACAGATTCAGACCAAGTAGCAATTTTCAGACTGTTACTTGATTTCATCTTCTTTAGGTAATATTTTTATTTCGAATTGACATAGCAAATTAATCAGATGTTCCTGGTCCTTTAATAGAAACTGACTCGAGTCATTCTCTAACATAATTCACTGTTTGGATTACAAAAAAATCAGAATAGCAGCTTTTTTTCTTTTTGTATTGAGTTTGTCACCCAGTTTGATGCTTTTGGGACCACAATTTTCAATTCAAAACAGGTCTTTCATGAAATCTAAATCACCAACAGTTTCTCAACACATCATGTATCAAGATTATGTTGTTCATGCAATAAACAAAACTACAAAGAGTAAGGAAAACTAGTAATTTTTTGTATAAGCTTAAAGCATAACAATAATATAATGTGAAATGTGAAAGTAGATATCTATGAACTGATGATAGTGATTAAGAACACATTTAGAACATGCAGTCACCTCTCCCATAGAAGAATGAATGGGGTAAGTTTCTAAAGAAACTGTGGTGCTACGTCCTCACACTGACAAAGGACTAATGCTCAAACATCAGCTTTTTAATTGTTTACAGTGGCCAAGTTACAATTTCAACTTAATTGATAAAACCAATTCTACCGTAAAAGGACACCCTTGAGATTGGTACAAGTGTCTGTTATTAGAGCTATCCATCTACAATAATTATTCCTGCATGCTGGTGGACACCAAAGAAAAATAGGAATGGATGGCCACCAGTGGGAGAACAAGAAGGCAAGACTGGAGCATGATGGACAGGGTCTGCAAAATCTGCAAGCCAGCAAGCCATGCAAGCCAAAGTGCAAGCCTTGAGAGCCACAGAGCGAGCCATACTAGTCAGGCGAGCCATTTTTGCAAGTATTTTTTTTCTTTGATTGGTCCAGGATCTGGGTGGTCATCAATCATGACTATCACTCAACTATCGCTATAAATAACCTGCCTGCCATTGTTCAAAAATTGTTTTTTATAAATAAACTGGTTTCTTTTTTCAGAACTACTTGCAGCAGTTGATGCTGAATAGTGAGTTGTAAAGGTTGAGATTGGACATCTGCATATACGTCAACCGCCTCTGGCAGCCGCTTCAGTCCATATTGATCTCCTTGAAATCCTTACTAAAATGAATTATACAGACAAACTCAATTCCAAATTACTTAAAAGTAAACAACTAGATCCTGATATTCATTATCTCTACAAAAAAATTTAGAAATAGGGTTGTTAAAGATCTGAGAGATAGTAAATGCAAAAATTTTAATAATCAATATCATTCTTTATTTAAGTCTAACATACAAAAACCATGGTCTGGTATTAGGTCAATTATAAATGTTGGTAAATGCAAAAACAGTTACATAACTTCTATTTTAAATAACAGTAAGTCTGTTGATAACACTAATGACATTGCCAACATCTTCAACAACTTCTTTGCTAATACTGGTAAGACTAAAGAGAAGGGAATCTCTCGGGGAAGTCATAGCCCCTTATTCTACCTTAGCGGCAAGTACTCCAGATCAAATTTTTTTTATCCCTTGTCACTTCGAATGAAATTTGGACTTTTATTGGTAAGATGGATGCTAGGTGCAAGTCTTCTGGCCCATACAGTGTACCTGTTACTATTTTGAAAACTATTAGGGACTATATATCTGAGCCTCTTGCATTTTTAGTCAATGATTCCTTTGTAAGTGGTAATCTTCCTGTGAAATTAAAATTAGCGAGGATTATTCCTGTCTTTAAGAAGGGCTCAAGATTTGACATAGACAACAGTATAGACCAATTTCTGTTCTTTCTAACTTTAGTAAATTATTTGAAAAAGCTATGTACCATCACCTCTACAGTTATTTGAAAGAACTACAGATACCTTATCCTCTTCAATTTGGTTTCAGAGATAAAATGTTTGACTACCCATGCTCTTATTTCTATCACTGAATCTATTCATGTCCATTCATAATAATGAATTTGGTTGTGGTCTATTTATAGAGCTAAAAAAAAGCATTTGATACCGTTAATCATACAATCCTATTAACTAAACTTAACCACTATGGAATAAGAGGTGTTGTGCTTGATTGGTCTACAATCTTACTTATTCCAAAGAGAACAATTTGTAAATGTTAATGGTCGTAACTCACCTTCATTGCATGTGACCTGTGGTGTCCCACAAGGATCTACTTAAGGAACCCTTTTATTCTTATTACATGTAAACAATTTGCCCAATACTTCTAACTTACTAACATTTCATCTATTTGCTGATGATACTAAAATTCATTTTTCTAGCAAAAATCTTAGTCACCTTGAAACAACCCTAAATCTTGAATTAAAATCTGTTGCTGAATGGATGAAATGTAATCGATTAGCACTTAGTATTTCTAAAACTAACTTTATTCTTTTTCATTCCGGTAAACTTAAACCTAATCAGTCATTAAGAATTAAAATTGATAATGTACTTGTTAAACAAGTTGACACCACTAAGTACCTGAGCATAACATTTGATTCTACCTTAACATGGAAGTCATATTAATGAGCTTTGCTTGAAACTATCCAAACCTGTAGGTACAGTATCTTGTCTGGAGTGAGACACTTTGTCAACAATTCTTACCATACTTCATTACTCCCTTATCTATCCATTCCTCACTTATGGCATCCATGTCCGAGGTTTAACCTTTCCCTCATTTTTAACAAAATTATTTATTAGCCAAAAAAAACGCAATCAGAAAAATATCTTTCTCTGAACCAAAATCCCATTCTGAGCCTCTGTTTAATCCCTCAATCTTCTTAAGCTTAATGATGTTATTGAATTACAGATTCTTTCCTTTATCAGTGGTCACATAGACTGTTACCCCATTGTTTCAGTAAATATTTCAAATTTACATCCTCTGTTCATTCCTATTAAACAAGGCAATCATGTAACAGAAATCTTTATGTAGCCTCAGTTAATACTACTCAATATGGCTTACAGTCCCTAAAATTCACTGGCCCTCCCCTTTGGAATTCATGACCTATAATTAAGTATAACTAATTCAAATTCTCTTAGAATATTTCATAAAGCCCTGAAAAACTCTATACTCAATTGTTACTCTTTTTAATTATCTACTTTAGTGCATAAAGTAATACTTTTTTTTCATTTTTTTCCCTTAAATGTATCTTATAATTAGGGGTCATCCACTAGATTAGCCTTTGCTATTTGGATGATCCTAACTCGCTACCTACTTTATTGCTAGACCTTTTTCTCCTTTTTTCCTTTGCTGAACTGTGTTTAGTTGCTATGTAAATTTAACCCACATACCTTGTAAAATCGAGCTGAGTTAAAATAAATCATCATCAAAATAGATCATCCTCATCTCACCTTTCCACCCATCCCACCATAGGAGATATTGGATATTTTTAAGTCAAAGTTGAAAACACATCTTTTTTGTTTAGCATTTTTATCTTAGCCTGAACACGATATTATAGCAGTATTAGCATAACATTAGTATAATTGTATGTAGTTCTAGAATTCATTTTATTTTATGCTGTAGCTATATGCCTGGCATGGTCTTACATAGGCTAAATGCCTGGCAGTCAGAAAATTTCACCGAATTTTCACTAAAAGCTTCTTCGAAGCTTCTTGAGAATATGAAATGTTTCTTTATCAATGTCAAGCGACTCTAAAAATTATCTACTATAATATAAAATGGCCATCTTACAACACTTAGAAAAATTCGGCTTAAACTCAATGGCGAAATATTCACTTAACAAATTCTGACTGAAAGCCTTATTTAAACCTAAAAAAAGTATTTGGTGTTTCTTTAGAAATGTCAACCGTTCCTAAAAATTACTTCAGTTTTACATAAGATTTAACTAGGCTTGTGTTTCCCATCACATTGTTCAGTATCTGTGATATCAGACTGCCATGCAGTCAGTCTCAAATAGACTTAAAATGCTTGGCAGTCAGGAATTTTCACCGAATTGCAACTGAAATCCTCCATCAAACTTAATGAAAGTAATTGTTGTTTCTTTAGAAATGTCAAGCAATCCTTATAATTATTTTGGTTTTACATTTGACGAATTTGCCGAGCTTGTGTATACCATAAAATTGCTCAGTTATTGACACTTAGCCATTTGTGAGACTGCCAGTCACGGTCTCAAATAGACTAAATGCCCGGCAGTCAAAAATATTTAACTAATTTCGACTGAAATCCCCATTCAAACCCATTGAAAGTATATATGTGAGGATTGTTTAGAAATGTGAAGCAATTCGTACAATTATTTTGGTCTTACATTCCAAGAATTTATTGAGCTTGTGTCTACCGTAAGATTGCTCAGTTATCAACACTTAGCCATTTGTGAGACTGCCGTTCACAGTCTCGTTCCAAGTGTCGTGAGATGGCCATTTTATACTAAGTAATTTTGAGTCACTTGACATTGATAAAGAAACATTTCATACTCTCAAGAAGCTTTAAAGAAGTTTTCAGTGTAAATTCGGTGAAA